TGTAAATCAAACACCAAGCACCATGGCATACAGTGGCTTTAACACAAATTGTTTGCAGATTCCACCTTTTGATTTGATATTTTGTATCTAATGCACATAATTCGAACATTTTAGGTTCCCAAATATTTTTCACTTTAGACCACTTTACATCAAAGTACATTGGTATTTTGTAATGACGTCCAAACATAATTATCATAAATTCAACTTACTACTAATTGGCACTGTTTTGCGAGGTATGGTATTCGGTGTCGATCCCAATCCGCCGGTCAGCGTTGATGGACTCCAGATGTAAAACACGCAGAGCACAGCCAGCAGAAACATCATTCAGCGCTCCAGTAAAAAAAATCAGTCAGTGATTTTGGTATAAAGATGGTGCGAGTGCTAGATTCCTGTGTCGTCTGTCTGTCAGTTTCTCATCCTTGCTTCAGTCCGGAACGCTTCCATACTGAGATATATGACTTTAGCTGCAAAGAACGCTCTTCAGCAGAGAACCCTGTGAGGCCATCTGAAAGAAAGAGAGAGAGTGTGAACAGGCAGGGGTGCTGGCAGCAGTATTTCTGTCACTGCTATAGTGATGCTAATGCGGAGGATGAAAGCTTTTACTCTAGGACCTTGACAGAGACACACGGTTCTGCCTTTCAAGCCACAGAATGACACAAAGCCAGAATAGCTCATCACCCCCGCCCCACACACACACACACACACACACACACTCACACACATCCTGAGATATGCCTTACAAACCTCAAGAAATATTTTCACAAGTAGCATGGACAATCGAATGCAGAATCTGAAAAGTTAAACAGTCTTTAATAAGTAATCTCTCCTTCCCAGACGACAGGCTGATAAAAACTCCCAGGAAATATTTATTGTCTGAAAGCTGGTGTTTCCTAACAGGCGTGATGAAGAAACAACGTACCATCATTTTGTAACCTGTGTCTGCAAGATGGTTGCTTACTAACCCAAAACCTGGATATATGTGGCTTAGTCAATTTCCTTAAGTCTACTTCCATCCGTTTGATTGTCCTCCATACAAAAAAACAAAAAACAAAAACATTTATAGGCTCAAGTTTAATACTTGCAACGTGCAATAATGTAATGAGAGGAAATGTTAATGCATGACAAATTTTGGTTTTCAATCAGTCAAACAAACCATATCCTGTCCTATTGAAACCACTAACATGTCAGTAAAGTGCTGCTAATTTTTGACAGAATGACTGCATTGCAAGCAAAGTACGAATGCACCGTCAATGCATGGCTTTGGAAGCCTCTAACATCTGGAAACACAAGTGCTCAGTGGTGCATTTATTATCTGTTTGCAGTGGCATATGTTTACTACATTGCTAAGAGCATGATTATGGCATGTCAAGAGAGATGCGCTGTAGCATGAGCGTAGATCTGATCAGATACCACTCATATTTCACCATGTCACACACTTGTAGGCACATACTTAGTTTTAAATAATCGTGGGGACTTTCTACCCTACTAGCTGCTAATATAGGCCAAATAAATGACCACAGCCTAACACACTGCTAGCCCTAAATTACACATTTTGGGAGTTTTTTTTTTTTATACAGAATGAGTCAAATATTATTTAATCCCTTAAGTGAATCATGCTATATTTAAGGACACCCATATAAGGAAGAGAGAGGCATTATGAGAAATGTGCGTATGTAGATATACACACAAACTTAAGATTTTTATCTACATTATATGCTTATACAATTCGTTTTGCATCTATTTGACAAGTTGAAATATGACAAATGACAAGAATTCTGAATAGCTTACTAGAAATACCATAAATAATAAGAGAAGTATCTTAATATTCTAGTAGTTTATTCTGAAAAGAGTGCTACAGGAATGAGTCCTAAAAAAATTTCAACCTCCGGTTCCATCGTTTTTTGTTAAATGCCCGAAATAACGTAAGCTGAAGATTTATTCCACGCCATACAATAAATCAGTAATACCCCTTTGTGATTTTATTTTTTAAGCTTTTATGAGTCTTGAAAAAGGCGGCTGCTGACAGTTGGCTAAGTGGGACTACAGAGGTTGTTGGGACATTAAATGTAATTATGTTGAACAGGTAAACTCATCGACTCACTAGTTTACTTTTACAGCCTCTTTTTTGTTTAGAATTGTGCTTTTGCAAACTATTTCAGCTCAAACTTCACAACTTTAGCTTTTTACTTATACCAACTGTAATTAGATTTGGCGATAAAAGTTGTGCTCATCTGTGGAGATTATCTTGATAAAACAAAATGTTTAGGAATCATACAATTTTGTTGGTCAGAGAGAACTTATTTTCTGCAATAAACTTGGCAAAACCCACCATGTTATTACAGTACAAATATAGCATTTTTGGACTATACATGATGGTAATCTTTTAAGTACTGTACAGTGTTATTTACAGTGTTATTATTGATAACTAAAACTATAAAATAAAATTTACATAGATGAAAAACTTAAATTTAAAAATGAAAATTTAAATGAAACTAAAAATAAGGCTATATATATATATATATATATATATATACAAAGTAAATATATAAAAGAAAAGTACAGTGTGCGATCAGTGAACGCCTCTGTAAACCTCACACAAGTGAAAACAGATCAGCTGTTTCCACAGAATGCATTTCAGTACTGGTCTCAGTTCCTTTGAAAATAAGTTTTAAATGCAGCAATGGCTGAAAAATGTGGGTTAAGCAGCAACTCACCATGCAACCAAATTCCCAGTTAGTCTCTCAGTTCTCCTGTGCTCGCATAAGTGGTTCCTCTTCAAACACACACACACACACACACACATGCACGCACACACTGTTTCAGCCCTCCAGTGCAAAACAAATCAAAAGTGGTCTAAGTCTCAAAGGCAGCAGAGTGTGTTGAGAGTCATGGCTCTGCAGTGAATGGAGCTCATGGTGTCTTCTGCTCTGTGTGAGAGAGCATTAAACTGCTCGGATCCTGCAGAGTGAAGTCAAAGACATTCTTCCACTGGAGAGAAAAGAGAGAGAGGAAAAAAAACAAAACATGCTTTTAGAAGCTCCTCAATCTCAAACAAGTCACTACAAGTGACAGCAAGAGAGTGTGTGTTGCAGAAAGAGGAGGAGTGTAGGAGAGGCTGTATTGTTTACTGACCTGATTTTCAAGAAAGCCAAGTTTGCAGCTGTAGTAAACAAAAGAGAAAACTGATGTTGATTTTCTCTGTTACAACCTTTGAAAACAAATTTTGCATTCACATTGAAGAAGAAAAAAAAAAGACTTAAGTTTTCTCAACTCAGCGTCTTTGCGAGGGTCATTGGCTCATTGTAGCTTGTTTTGAGCCAAACTTGTTTTTATGTTCATTGTGACATTAATTGTTACAATTGTTTTTTGTTTTTTTTTGCAAATTCAGATTATCTGGACAATCTGGATGAACTTGTTCTGTACTAGCACATTTTTTCACAGATGAATCATCATGGATCAAGGTCAAATGAATCACTGCTAAAGTTTGTTTTTATCTAGCAAATCGAATCTTGTTGATAGTGAACAATATAAATATGAATTAAGCTTTTTTTGCAATCATTTATCAATAAACGGCAATTACTGACATAATTTCAACCGCATTCCTTCGTTTAAGGTTGGTCAACTGCCCGCTGGGTAGGCTATAGGCATTTTCAAAGTTAAATATAGGCCTTGACTTTGTTTCATGAAGCATTTGTCATCCAATTACAATAACAGAATGAAATGTTGAGGTAAAAGTTGAAGGTTACTGACGCCCCTTGTGGTCAATATACACCTGACAGGGCGATTCAGATTCGCCTCTCTTGAAGGGATTTATTTTGCGATAAACCCCTTGTCATATATATTTATTTTGTAAAATAACCGGATATTTACCTAATAGATAATTAAATAGTTAAAGGTATTTTATGTTTTACTTGTAAGTTATATGAGCTAAGCTTTCTCTGAAACAGTCCGCTTAATTCGTCCCCGCAAAAACGAGTCCCTTCTTTTGACAAATGTTTGTTCTTTTGCAAATATGTTCTTCTTCTTCTTACTTGAACTACTACACTCTCATGGAATTCTAGTAATCAAAAGGTTTATACTCACCACAAAATGTATACTGAAGATCTCCGTGTTTTACTGTTAGTAACGTTTTCAGTCGCAAGATGGCGGCAATGAGCTGTTATCATGAAAATATGGCCGCGGACAAACATGTAAAACTAGAACAGCGGGTGAATTCTACAAAACCTTCCCTTTAATTCCCATAAATATCACAGTTATAAATAACAAGAAATTATTTTAACATCACATGAAAACATATCTACAAAGTCACAGTAGCACCATGCATGTTCATAAAACCGATAATGACAGTTGGTCGATCAGGAACACAAATGCAACCGTCTCACAACCCATCAACAAACGCTTAAAAGTCTGAGAAAAACTCACCTCTAAAAGGCTAATTTGTCCTTTATATTCAAATACCATTTTATGAGAGGAAAACCTGCTTCATAAACTTGGAAGTTTATCCTGCAAATGTGTCCAAAAGCATCATACACATTTTAAAACATAACAGGTCTACTGAGACACTAGGAAGCAGGGTCAAAAATTAACTTTTGCCACACCTCTGTTTATGGCCACAAATAATTCCTAATGGCCATAAACTGCTTCATATTCATTGAGGGAAAAATATATCTGATCCAGTCACGACAGTCCTTTGAAAAAATAAAACCAGCTGAAACCAGCCTAAGATGGCTGAATCATTTTAGCTAGTCTTATAGCATCATAATAGCTGGTTTTAGAAGCTTTAGATGGTTTCTTTACAGCATGTCACTTTCAGCAGTGAGAGTCAGTCTTACAATTCAATTTAAATCATGTATTAATTTCACGTTCCTAATAAAGTTAGCATTTTTATTTGCAGTCCTGTAGATCAAACAGCAGAGCATTGCACTAGCAATGCCAAAGTCATGGGTTCAAATCTCAGAGAATACTGATTCAAATACAATCAAAGTCACTTTGGATAAAAGCATCTGCAAAATGTATTTGCTTTTTATTAACCCAATTTATATGCACATTTGGTGCTTGGCGAGTGTTAATTTTGGACCCTACCTCGAACCATACCAGATTCACATTCATCTGAGCATTTAGATCACTTCTCTCCAGTTCACAGTTAGTGTTTGATTAAAACCAGTAATACAAGTCCTTCATTTTAAGACGAGTTTGATGTGCTTCTTTCTTAAATGTGTGGAAATGTCCTATGTCCTCTCGACTCATGGTTTGACAGTAGAAACCTGAGTTAAGGTCTAATTAATAGAATAGAGAGAGTAAGAGGTATAGAGAATCTTGGCTCAGATTTTTCCCATTTAAATTTCAATAGTCTCAACAGAAATGGCATCATTCTGTGACGGCATTATTATGAGGCAGGATAAGCTGGTGGACCTCCGCTCTCGTGTTATTAATAGAGCCAAATAAAGTGGCATTGTTTCAGTCACACTGAGGGAAGAATGTCGATTACAGGGAGTCCTTGTCCGTTCAACAGGACATCAGTCTTTATTGGAAGGCACTGGAAGAATGAGACGACGAAGAGTGGGCAGAAACGAGGAGGAAATCACTCTTGACTGGTCCGTCTCTTCTCCAGCGTCTGTTTGAGCTCGTCTGTGAGGCCTGATGGGAAGAAAACTTATTAGTCATATTTTAAATATACAGTCATATTTTCACCCTCATGTTCAGTTAATATTGATTTTACTTTCAGTATGTCTGGGGTCTGTGAGACACCCCTGCACATGGGAAAAAAATATAAAATACTGTTGAAAAGTTTGAGTTATGTAAGATTTAATAAATGCTTTTCAAAAGAAGTGTCTTCTGCTTACCAACGCTCTTACCAATGCATTTATTTGATAAAAAAAATGGTAAAAACAGCAATATTATGAAATATTATTACATTTTAAAATAAACGTTTTCTATTTGAATGTTTTAAAATGTAATTTATTTCTGTAATGCATGATTTTCAGCATCATTACAGCCTTCAGTGTCACATGATCCTTCAGAAATCATTCTAATACATTGATTTGCTGCTCAATAAACATTTCTTGTTATTATCAAATTTTGAAAACAGTAGTAATGCTTAATATTTTTGTGGAAACTGTGATTAAAATGTTCACAATTCTTTAATGAACAGTTCAAAAGAACTATTTATTTGAAATAGAAATCTTTTGTAATATTATGAAATGTCTTTACTGTCACTTTTGATCAGTTTAATATATCCTTGCTGAATAAAAGTAATTTCTTAAAAATAAAAAAAAATATTCCCAAATCAGTGGTGGTGTACAATTAAATATTAAAATATGTAAATAATAATTGTTATAATTATATTATTAAATACTGATTTTCCTTCTAATATTATTTCATATAATTGATATTGTTTTTTTGGTACTATGGTGATATCAACTGTTTAAGTCCATTTGTTCAAAAACAATAAAAATCAGATCCCCCCAAAAATGTTAGGAAGTTGAAATTTTATAAACCGTTTTGGAGCTGGAGCCCGGGGGTCTTACTCTGAGAGAGCGGTGAGGGAGACAGAACCAGCCTTCTCATGGAGTTGGACGGAGAGCCAGACGGGGAAAAGGATCTTGGTGAGGAACTGGGAGATCTCATCTGTGACCGCAGCGACCATCTGTCTGTACCTACTGAACACACACACATACAAACTCACTCACTCACTCAGTCTAGAGAATCTGGGGTGGGATAAAAGCATTCACTAGTTCACATCGACATAGTGTGCAGCCCTACATCTGATGTTCACACATAGCCAGCATTTTCTCAGTGTTATGCAATTCCGCCACAAATTGCTAAAACACACAGATTGAGACTTGTTTCATACTTTTGCAACAAGAGCCACTACAGCATCCAAGTGCAACTGCTCCTGCATGTTGTTTGGCTTGAGCATTGAAACTGGCATAATAGACTATTCATTATATTTGTGCAAAAAAGCATAAAAACCTGTGGGGTTTGAACCTTCGACCTTTTAGTCAGCAGCTCTTTTCTAGTACTATTTTAACCACTAGACTACACTATCATATGAACCTGCAGCAATGCTGATATATTTTCTGCCATTTAACTCTCAATATATGAACAAATGGCAGCAGATATAGTTGTGTGGAGCATGAGATGTATGGTACCTTGTTTAGGTGGCAGTGATGGAGCTCGAGAAAGAGGTCCAGTGGGAGCACAGTGCAGGGTTCGCTCTCCATTCTCATCATTGGACGACACAAACGCTACAGGAAAGATACATTTAGATGCCGAATTAAGAATGTCTTCATTTATGGTCAGATGTGCAGATTGTGAGCATATTTATGTATGAACGTGTTTTTGACATACTGATGTTCTCCTCATAAGGCTCTTCTAATATAAAGGGCTGAAGAGTCCCGGCGGTTTTCTCCACAAGTGCATTGATGACATCATACAGTGTGGGACAGGGGATCTGCAGGAAGAGACAAAAAAAAAATTACAATAAAATGAGGAATGAGATTTTCCTAAGGTTGGTGTTTTCGCATAGATTCTCTTTATTTAGAAAGTCATTTTCACATACTGGGTTTTCCACATCGATAATGTAACCACCCTGCTGCTTCTGTGTCACTCTGTAATGCCTGAACACTGATCTGAAACAGAAAAAAAGAGAGAGATAATTAACATATAAAGAAACCAACACAATGACTCAATTCTGATGTGTACTGACATCCAGTGCAGTACTACTGTTACTGTCAATTGAAACTAAAACGATTAAAAATGGTCTTCGCTAGTTAAAATAAAGCTAAAATAAAATAGAAATAGAACTGAGAAATGTCACCCTGGCTATTATCAGAAATAAAATATGTTTAATTTGTACTTAAATGACTAAATATAAAATAAATAAATGACAAAAGCACACAAAAAATATCTAAACTAAGATTCACATAATAATATGTCATAATAAAAGCTGATTCAAAAATAATACTAAAGTACTGCACTGATCCAGTAAAGACATCATAGTGAATTAATCCAGTGAAAGTATAAATCCAGTTCACTTTGAAATCCACTGATTGTCATAATAGACTTATATGACATCATAACATCCAGTGATGATGTCATAATGTATAAACCCAGGGAAAATTCAGTTATAATGCCCATTTATACGTTTACATTGGAATCCAGTGATTGCCATAATGCCTTTATGATGACATAAAATCCAGTGATTTGATGTCACAATGGGCACTTATGATTTCATAATGAATTAGTCTTAAGAATTAATTGCACAAAGCCCAGTGGAAGACAATTAAAGATGCCAGATCAGTCAAACAAAAAACAAAAAAAAGTCAACTATAATTAAATTTCATTTAGTAGTGAGAAATAAAGATAATTGTTTTCCACTAATATCGGAGCCTGCTTTGCATATTTTATGCTCTATTGGTCTCATGTGCACTACATTTCATGAACACTATTTTATATAGTGTGCAGAGTTGCCATCATTTGCAAGCGTCTAATTTAGTCATGAGGTTCAATGAAACCAATGAGGTTCAATTTGGTTTTGGATGCCGTTTTAGAAGTCAGCTGTCTATGTAGACAGCAAGGCAGCTTACTAGGTTTTCGAACAGAGCTAAAGTGTATTTTTTGGTAGTGTTCTCAATGATAAATCATACTAAGAGAGAGAGATGTTTCAGTGTTTTTACCCGTTCAGGTCTTGTCGTGTTGTGACGGCGAGTGAAGATCCGTCCCGGCCTGGTCTGAGCAGCATGTTCCCGCAGTCTGGATGTCTTTCTAACAGCACCTCAGCTTCAGTACGAGACACAGGCCTGAAACACCTGCCAAATAACAGACAGAAGCACAACTACATGAACATTTATCTCAAGCATCCACTAAGAATGAGATTATACACACCAGTTAAGCATATAGTAGATTTTGGTAAAGAAAGCCTAAAAACGACTAGGATAAAAAATAAAATAAATGCCCTAATCTCAGCCGAACACTATTTTTTATTGACAAAACATGACAACAGTAGCAAATACAGTCTGTCAATAGATGAGAAGTTATAAATAACACATCAACCACATACCTCATAAAGCATACACCTTCGAAAAAAACTGTATAATCTCTAAAACATCACATATATTAAGAGTTTGGCTCCATTTTGTAGTTCTGCGAACTGACATATGAAATTAGATTGGCATTCAAGAGACTGTTTTTATTGATTATTTTTATTGCTGCGCAGGACGCAGAGTAAATCCATGAAATTTATCATGTGCTTTATCAGGCAGGCAGAACTCCTTTAGAAAAGTAAATGCCCTACTCCTAAAAGTGATGCTTTAGCTATGTATAAACACTCAGACGCTCAAGAATGTCTCCCACAAACACACTCGCTCACATAAACAGATACTCACGCAGGTATTTCCCCCACCAGCGGGAGCGAGAGGGGGGACGAGGGGGCTCTGGAAGACGCTCGTGCCTTTCGACGCATTTTTTCTTTCTCCACGACTTCATTCAGCATGTGCAGCTGCCCGGGCAGGAGGGTGAGAGTCGTGGGCACAGCCAGCTGGAATCAAACGCATAGCATGTGTCTTTCTGATTTGCACGGTTAAATATACCATCCATAGTGATGCTTTCTGCACGGGGACTCTGATCTCTTTATCTATAAAAACAGAAGCGTGTGGGAGGAGTTTTGGTGGTGTTCAACTACAGCCAGTGGATATGATGGTGATATATAGTTTTTATAACACCTGCTCATGTTTTATGATGACCGGAAAATTGACTTTATTACACATCTAAAGTCCAACAAAAACTGATTTAATAATAAAATAGATAATAAAAGTTAAAAATTACATTTCTTGAGAAATCTGAAAAACATCCACAATACTGTCAACAATATAAGATTTAACAAAGTCTACAATAGTCTAAAAATTTCTGTTTTCCCAAAAAGCTGTTTCCTGTTTTCCCAAAAACAAAGTTTGTTACATTGACTCGATTGTATTTCAATGGTTATTTCTAGTCCCAAAAAGCATCCATGTAAAGTAAGTGAATTATTAAACACTTCATATGACAAGGATCAAAACAGAGTAAAAGAACAATATATCAAGACAATCGATATTTGATTTCAGCTGAAAATGATCTAGTGTCAATTGCAAAGTCTACCAACAGAAGTGTCAATAAATGGTGCAACTAGTGTCATGTGGATATATTTAAGTAAATATTCTGTTAATATTATCTAAGCAATAAAATGTCATACAATTTTCAGAATTGTAATTTTTGGATATACACTAAAGTGATTTTTTGAATGTTTCTGAAAGTCCCTTATGCTCACCAACACTGCATTTATTTGCAAAAATACATTAAAAACAGTAATATTGCAAAACATTATTATAATTTAAAATATCCGTTTTCTATTGTAATATATTTTAAAATGTAATTTATTTCTTTGATCAAAGCTGAATTTTCAGCATCATTACTCCAGTCTTCAGTGTCACATGATCCTTCAGAAATCATTCTAATATGCAGAAGAAACATTTCTTATTATTATCAATGTTTATCAAACAGTTGCCTGCTTCATGTTCTTGTACATATACATATATATATATATATATATATATATATATTCTCTTTTTTTCCCCAAAGATTCTTTCCAAGATATTTAGAAATTTCTTGTAAGATAAATGTCTTGATTTAATGTGTTTTTGTGAAATAAAATCATTTACTTTTACTAACAAAAAAAAAACCTACTGATGCCAAACTTTTGACCAGTAGTGCATATCAAAATAATATCAGCTACCTTGCTCTCTAGATAAACATATCAGCGACAAAACAAACCATAACAGTCGACCAAATCTTTCCTAAACCAAAAGAAACAAAGGTATCTGCTGCATTAATTGAACATGGTCATAAAACGCAAACTCTGCAGTTCAAAGGTCTCAGATCTCAACAAACTCAGAACAACAATATTATTCAAGATGGTATATAGAATAAGCCTGACTGGAATTCATTGTTCTGCAGGAGAAGCTGTTAAGTGTTTACTGACATACAGAACTTGACCTAGAGTTTCTAGGGTACAATAACATAATGCTAGCACTAAGTAAACATTTACACAGTTTTTACTGTGAGGCAAAAACTCATCTGTGAGACTAAAGAATGTGTCAACTTCTGTTAAAAACATTTCCTCATTTGATTGAACTTACATCTACGACCGAGTAAAGAAAACCTTTCCACAGCTCACGCGCCTCCAGATTCGGTGCCTGAGAAGAAAGAGAGAGACACTGACATTAATTATATTATTAATAACTAAAAATTCAATGCAATATTTCCTTACACTACTGCATTACATTAGAGACACATAGTATCTCACAGACAGTTAGATCTCTATTTACATTTATTGATTCAATCAATGCTTTTATTCAGCAAGGATGCATTAAATTGATCAAAAGTGACAGTAAAGAACTTACAATGTTACAAAAGATTTCTATTTCAAATAAATGCTGTTCTTTTGAACTTTCTATTCAACCAAGAATCCTGAAAAACTGCATCACGAATTCCACAAAAATATTAAGCAGCATAACCGTTTTCAACATTGATAATAATAAGAAATTTTTCTTGAGCAGCAAATCTGCATATTAGAATGATTTCTGAAGGATCATGTGACACTGAAGAATGGAGTAATGATCCTGAAAATTAAACTTTGCATCACAGGAATAAATTACATTTTAAAATATACTTAAATTAGTACTGTCAAACGATTAATCGCGATTAATCGCATCCAAAATAAAAGTTTTGGTTTACATAATATATGTGTGTATACTGTGTATATTTATTATGTATACATAAATACAAACACATGCATGTATATATTTAAGAAAAATATGTTATGTTTATATATTAAATATATTTATATATAATATAAATATATAATGTATATAGATGTAAATATTTTCAAAATATATACTGTATGTGTGTGTATTTATATATACATAATAAATAATCACAGTACACATACATATATTACATAAACAAAAACTTTTATTTTAGACGTGATTAATCGCGATTAATCGTTTGGCAGCACTAATTTAAATAGAAAATGGTGATTTGAAATTGTAATAATACTGTATTTTTGATCAAATAAATGCAGCCTTGTTTGGACTTCTTTCAAAAACATAAAAAAAAAATCGAACCGACCCCAACCTTTTGAATGGTAGCGTAAACATTTGTTTTTGCAGTTGTAAGTGCATTAGTATTTGTGAATTAAATTCTCACAGAAGTTATTTATGTTTTTCTTTGAGGTATGGAAGGGCTGCTCATGGGGTTTGTAAGAGGAAGTATCGAAGTACAGTGTTTTTGTACCTCTTTGTGAAGGTAATCTCTATACAATCTCTCTAGCAGACCTCTGATCGGCCCTGATTCGGAACGCAGAGGGTTTCCTGAGCAAAGCCTACAGCACATTCAACACTGTTGAGTCTTGACCTGACCATAATATGACCTGGAGCTGTCTGGAACTCTTACTACTGGCATCAGATGTGGTAAAAATAAACAGGAGTAAAATAATGGCCTGTGAAAGCGAAACTATATTGCATTTGAAGAAGTTTGTGAAGACTGAAAGACCTGCATTTGCTCATACAGGAGTGCGTGAAGGTTGAGATGTGCATTAGGAGTGTAACTGACCAAGCATACAAACTGGAGCTTATCGTTTCAAGAAAGCTCTTGCTATTTAGTGTGCAATCCACATCAGAGGGTCTGTGAACGGTCTGTGGGTGTGAGGCTGAGATGAAGGGCATGAGGGGATACTGACAGACATCTGATACTCACAGTGAGTTTGATTTCTCCATCTTTCATGCGGAGGTTCAGTCTGGCTGCCTCCAGATTCCTATCACGACTTGGGTCATCGATCAAAGACACAAACCCACTCAGATCCAGCTTCTCTACATGCTAATCAGAAAGCACACACATGCAGAGCAACATTTAAAGGAACAGTTTACCTAAAAACGCCTTAATAATCCTGAATGATTTTTGTGAAACACACAAAAAAGAGATTTTGGGCAGAATTTCTAAAGTCTATTATTTCATTTTTTTTTTCTTCTTTAATAAAGTAAGTAAAATAATAAAATAAAATAAGTTCAATTAATACATATTTAAAAATATGTATAAATAATCAAATTTGAATAATATTATATTATTAATAATAATAATAAAAAAATATATTTTTATTATTTAAATAAAAAGCAATATAATAGATTATAATATATATTAAATAAAAATGTACAAAAATACAGATTTTTTTTATAAAAAACTGTTTAATACAATTATTATTATTAATACAGATCACAATAAAATTACAATAATAATATTTATGGCTCTCTTAATTTCTTTGCTTTCATATGTTAAACTATAAGACCTTTTGCTTTGGAGGAAATTGTCTGAAATATAATTGAAAACATTTTTTTTTTTCACAATTTCCACAATTCACATGGTTAATACTTTTTCTGGTTGTAAAATTCAGAAATACATATAAATACAAGAAAATCACATGACTGTTTTTGAAGCCTCGCATTTTTGTTATTGTTCAGTGCAAAACAGTAGCTTGGACATTTTGCCTAAGATCTCATTTTGTGTTTCCCGGAAGAATGATAATCCAGGTTTGGAACAGCATCAAGGCGAGTAAATGATAAAAGCATTTTTTTTATTTTTTAGTAAACTATTCTTGTAATATTAAAAAAAAACAACAACTATGAATAACACACCAGAATAAACACTTTATAAGTGATCACATTCCGTGAACATCTATGTAAATATTAAGCTCCCACACAGTGTGATTTTCCAGCAAACTTTGCATGTTACTACTTATAGATAAAGCTACCCATCCGCAGCTGAGGTTCTAGAGGTTGAAACTGCTATCTCCATGGGTTCAGAATGAAAATCAATACTGAAACCACAATAATCAAGTAGTGTCTGATAAAACTCCTCTTTGCCATCTGCTCTCTCATGGCTGAATGCGCTTAATGAGATGGTAAGGTTACGATGGACTTCAGACTTGAAGGGGATTTGCAGAAGAATGTCCTTCTAGATCTAGATACTAATGCTCCACAGACTGATAGAGGATTAGTCCCTGTATATATCACTTACATTTGTGTCCTTAGGGTTGTTGAAGAAGTACAGTGTGTTTCCACATAAACAGGTCCATAAACGCCGAGCTACCTGCATCCAAAGAGAACAAAAGCCAAATTTCCATATCTGGTCTTTAAGTAAATATGAATATAAAATGTGCATGTTATAACTCAATTTGCAGTATAGTTGGACATTATTGGGCTATATAAAGGCATAAAAGTGACAATAAATCTTCTCTTTCTGAAGTCAGGGTGATTAAATGCATGTTCAGGGCTCGAACACATAATTTTGACATGCTAATTCTCTGACAGCGCAGCAAATGGCAGTCATCTCTGCATAGATTACTGCTCTTCTGTCTGTAATTCTCTGCTCTGTCTGGCTCAATCCTGATCTCTGTGGCAGCTCATGGCTCCCCGGGGCATGGCTCTCACACACACGCATACACACACACACCCCGACCCGGAGCACAGCTGTCCTAAATCTGAGACCCACCCCCATCACACACGGTGCACCTGAACCCCTCTCAATATTCCCTCCTGAATATGCAATCTGGGATTAATTTGTGTAAGTGGCACTTTGTCAACAACATTTTTTCTTTAGTATTGAATTAAAATATAATATTTGTCTGTACATTGCATCGTTTAATAGCTATTGCATATTTAGAGTTTTACATACTCTCTAAAGTGTATATTATATATAAAAATAGAAAATATAATGTAATATAATAGAACTATTCATTTGGTCACTTAAAGGGAAGATTACATTTTATTCATTACTCACAAAGATGAAGTAATACATAAAACATTTGCCTGCACACTGTATTGATTAGTAAATATTATTGCATATTGCGTTTTATAGTGTGTGTGTTTATATACTTATGTATAAATTTGATCTATTATGCATAAATATTGTGTGTGTATATATATATATATATATATATATATAAATAAATGTAGTGACACCAAAAAATAATATAGATATTACATAAAGAATATTATAATAAAATATAGTCCAGTAATATCTAGAAAGCATATTTTTTATGGATATAATGCTGAAATAAGTCAATGAAATTAAACCCTTATTTTGCATAGTATGAACTTAATTTACTAAAATGTGCATGCGAAACGGCAGTATTTATTAACCAGGTTAATAAGTTCGAAGTGTCTCAAAGTTACATGAAAACAGAATTCGCAAATGTGCACTTTGGTAAAAGTCATGCACTACTAAGAGCAGATAACAGCGAACTCGCTTCTAAATGTAACATGATAGATGCACTGCAGCAAGAGATGCGTCTTTCAATGAATGCCTGATGATTAAAACACGTGATGGATCATATAAATCACACACTTCGGACTGCATGTGGTCTGCATTAAGGTGTGTCCACTACCAGAGCAGCTGAGAAGCAGCAGAGAATTTAAAGCACCGACAGACAAAAATAAGCTCACATATGAGTTATGGCATTTAAAGAGCTGTCAGACAGCGGCATAACGCATGGCACAGAGAAACGCCGGCTCATTCATCCATTAACGTTACAGTAGAAATGCACAACCAATATTTGAGTGGCCACTTGGCAAACGAAATAATATTCAGACAGCTGATCCATGCAAACCTCGCCCATATCCACACAATATGCGCGTGCGGCATATGCCATGCATATTGATATAATCAGATCAAGTGTTTGACATGTCATAATGTCCGCTTACCTTCTCTTTCGCTCCTCTTTTCTCCAGGTATCCCTCGTAATAACAGGGCGGCAGCTGCGCTCTCGTGCTCCCGGTGCGAGGATTCGCGGGCGCTACCGCCATGATTCGAGCAGCTCTGCCCGGTACTGACACACACACACACACACACTCAACAACACACACAGCAGCGGGACAAAGAGCCGCTGGATGATGCTACTGACCGGGAAGCGACACGCCTTCTTTGGGCGAGAGATGGATGGCACTGGATATGCGTGATTAATCTCGTCACTGACACGCATTCAGCTGCACAACACGACAGAGACTCAATATGGCATCTGTGATTACATTATGACCCGCAGGCGCTCGCTCTCAGGAAAACATCTCCGTTATTTGGTGGAAAGTATAATTGTAAGGTTATAATACTGCTCGTTTATTAATGCCTATTTCGAAGATGAGAGTTAATTCTACTGTAATTCAGTTTGAGCTGAAGGTTATATTATATTATAAACAATATTTTATATTAGAAATAAAAGTATTAAATTGTTATGATAAAACATTACGTAAAGAACATTTTTATATTATGAATAACATTATAGTAGACTAATAATAACAAAATGTTTAAATGGATACACAAAATTCTATATAAATTACGATTAAAACATGATATAAAATTGTTTTTTTGTTCTAACAATATATATATATATATATATATATATATATATATGTGCGTGTAT